CTGAGAAAGAATTTCCCCAACCAGTGTCTCTGATAAGGGCCTAATTTCTAAAATATATAGAGAACTAAGTCAAATTTATAAGAATACAAGTCACTCCCCAATTGATAAATGGTCAAAGGATATGAATAGGCAGTTCTCAGATGAAGAAATTAAAGCCATCTAACAGTCATCTGAAAAAACGCTCTAAATCACTATTGATTAGAGAAATACAAATCAAAACAACTCTGAGGTATCACATCACATCTATCAGATTGGCCAACATGACAGAACAGGAAAATGATAAATGTTGGAGAAGATGTGGGAAAATTGGAACACTAAGCCATTGTTGGTGGAGTTGTGAACTGATCCAATCATTTTGGAGAGCAATTTGGAACTATGCCCAAAGGGCTATAAACTATGCATACCCTTTGATCCAGTAATAATAGCACTTCTAGGGAATTTCCCAAAGAGATCATATAAATGGAAAAAGGACACACATGTACAAAAATATTTATAGCAGCTCTTTCTGTGGTGGCAAAGAATTGGAAATTGAGGGATGCCCATCGATTGGAGAATGGCTGAACAAGTTGTGATACATGAATATAATGGAATACTATTGTGCTACAAGAAATGATAAGCAGGTGGACTTCAGAAAAATCTGGAAAGACTTGTATGGTCTGATGCTGAGTGAAGTGAGCAGAACCAGGAGAACATTGTACACAGTAACAGCCACGTTGTGTGATGACTAACTTTGATAGACTCAGCCCTTCTCAGCAATGTGAGGATCTAGGACATCTCCAGAAGTCTCATGATGGAAAATGCTATCCCTATCCAAAGAAAGAGCTATGGAGTTTGAATGCAGATCAAAGCTCTTTATTTTTCTTCTGTCTTGTTTTGTTTCCTCTTTCTTATGGTTCCTTCTATTGGTTCTAATTCTTCCTTACAACATGACTAATGTGAAAATATGTTTAATAGGAATGTATATGTATAGCCTATATCAGATTATATGCTATCTTGGGGAAGGAGGTGGAAAGGGAGGGGGAGAAAAATTTTAAACTCAAAAGCTTATGGAAATGATTATTGATAAATCCAAATAAATTAATTAATAATAAAAAAATTTTTAAAGAATGTTCAAAAAAATTACATGCAATTGGATAATATTTAAGAAATAAATAAAAAATATATTTGAAAAAAGAAAAAGAAAAAAAGATGCCCAGAGAATTATAGAGACTGCTGAGAGATAAAGGTAAATTGGAGTCTCATACAAGTAAGGAGAGGGGAAGCTCTATTCCATGGGCAAAGGGGATGATTCTAAGGAGGTGTTCAATTGCTGAAACAGTAGCATGGAAACTTAGCAAGGGAACTGTGGTTGAGGAGCTTTGGGAGGAAGTGAGAAGGGAATAGTATTGAGAAAGTGGGACCAAGAGTTTTATATGAGATCTTTTTGGTTTCTATGTCCTTTTCTGGCACTACTTCCTTAAACCTCAAATACTTGAGCATTCTGTCCTAAGTGGTCAGTTGTGACGTCTGTCAATAAGCTTTGTGTGGTAGTTAGTTGGTAAATCAATTTCCTGGCCTCCAATCTGGCATCTCCAACTGCCTACTAGACATCCCAAACTGGAGGTTCTGTAGTCATCTTTAACTCAACATTTCCAAAACAGAACTCATTGTCTTTTCCCCCAACCCTTCTGTTCTTCTTTTCCTTCTTCCTGTCAAGAGCACCGCCATCCTTCTGGTCACATTGCCTTAAAACCTGGGTGTCATCTTGGCTCCTCACTCTCCCTCACCACTCCTCTCCCATACACAATCGGTTGGGAAGACCTGTAGAATCTATCTTCATGACATCTCTCATATATGCCCCCTTCTCTCCTTTGAGTTTGCCATTACCCTGGTGCAGACTCTCATCACCTCATACCTACAGTATTACAAGAGCCTGCTGGGTTGTTTTTTTTTTTCTCTGCCTCATGCCTCTTCCTCATTTCAGTCCATCCTCCACTCACTGGTCAAATTGATCTTCCTAAAGCATGTGTCACCCAGGATCAAACATAAAAACCTTTGTTTAGCTTTTAAAGCCCATCAGAGCTTAAGCCTGTCTTACCTTTCCAGTCTTCTTACACCTTACTCTCCCCTTCCATGTACTCTGTGGTCAGTAACACTGGCCTCTTTGCTATTCCTCTCATAAGACACTTCATCTCTCAACTCAGTGCAATTTCATTGGCTATCTCTCCTGTCTAGAATTCTCTTCCTCTTCATCTCCACCTTTTGGCTCCCCTGGCTTCTTTCAGGTTCCAGTTGATATCCTATCTTCTGCAAGAAGCCATTCCTGACCCCCCACCCCTTCCCCTCTTAATGCTATTGCTTTCTTTCTAAGATTATCTGCAATTTATCCCATACAAATCTTGTTTGTATATAGTTATTTTCATGCTGTCTCTCCCTTGGACTACAAGTTTCTGGAGGTTAAGGAGTTTTTGTTTTGTTTTGCTTTTCTTCTATACCCAGCACTTAGCTGGGACATAGTAGATATTCAATAAATGCTCATTAACTTGATACTAGGGACGAGTATGGCATGTGGCACGTGCTATAGAATGTTGTGACTAAGGCAGATGCTTTGCATATATCTAAATATATAACAATATCTAGGTATAGATATGTAGCAGAATAGAGCCCCACATGTAGACATGGTGAGAATTGTTATTGTGTGTGACTTGAAGGGAAGCATCTATCTCTAACCTCTTCTCACCCTACCCTTCTCCAAGGGAGATTTTCATTCCTACTGGGACGAGAAGCAAGAGATTGAGGCCAGAGGCCATTCTGCTCTCTTTAAAAAGAGAAGGTGCTAGGCTAGAAGTATATTTATCTGCTCCCTTAAAATTGTTAATCTAGAGGATATAATCAGGTTCCGCATAACTTCTAATCACTTTGTCATTTGGGGGGTATGGAGACCCCAAGATCTATATCCACAGCAGGGCCCCTTTCTCACCAATTACCATCTCCCCAGTGAACATATAGAGAACAGTAAAGAAGCCCATTTATCCAAATTGTAGCAAACTCAAAATCAGAGAAAGTATACATAGGACAATATATTCCAGACAATACATAGTGAAGGAGCTCTCCCATTGGGAAGGAGGTAACCCAGATTGAAAAAGAGAGTCCTGGATCTCATCCAAGGAGAAACTCCCCAAAGGCTCTAGAGTAGCAAGCTAGGGACAAACACATGATGGAGACTGCCTACTCCTCTCATGTCTTCCCAGAGTCTTTTCCTTCAGTGATCTGAAGAGGAGGTGGCCTCTTCCATCTTTTCTCTTGAAGCTGGAAACCAGGAGCACTCAAAGTAGCTCCATGCTAGACTAGACCCAAAGGGGACTGGCCCTGAAGAGCCCCAAAGAAGGAGTAGCCTCTAGAGAATCCCAAAGAGGACTGGCTGAGAAATGAAGCTCTTTTCTCTTCCCAGCTTTGCCCTGCCTCTGATGCAGGGCAGCACATTCATCTCCACCAATAAGGAAAGAGTCCCAAGTCATAAAATAATCCAAACGGAATGCGATGGAGTTATAAAGAACCAGACTGACTTCAAAGAAGAGATAAGAAAACAGCCCATCCTCCAATCCTTTGCAGAGTTTGGGGTACACAGGTGTGGAACTTTTTTTTGTAACTTCACTTTATTTTCTGTGTTGATCGGTTTTGCTGAATAGATTATTTTGCTGAATTAAAAGTGTTACTTGTTAAATAAACTATTTCCCAAATGCTTTTGCTCTGTCTGTCCTTCTGCCTCTCCTATACATCTCAAATTTCTTAATTTTTTAGGCTTAAATAAATGTTAAACACTGTCTATACTGTTCCTTAACAGCTTAACCAACAATAAAACAAAGACTAACAATTTACAATGTTTCTATTGTGGGAAAGATCACAGCCAACTACCTATGACTATTGTCTCTTCAATTCTGAATAGTCCTACCATTCAGCTATGTCAGGATACCGATTAAATTCTCTTCTCAGTGTTTATCTCTTTGGGGAATGGGGCTTTGCGGTAGCTGACTCTATCTAGGTGGAAGGGTAAGCAGTTTTAACGATTTTGGGGGCACAGAGGCAGCTGGGTGTTCAAATTCACCATCAAAATACTAGATGCCTGACCCTGGCTACATTGCTTAACCTCAGTTTCCTTCTCTTCAAAATGAGGATAATAATAACACCTACCTCCCAGGGTTTTTGTGAAATAATATTTGTAAAGCACATTGCAAGGCTTAAAGTGTTGTGGAAATACTAGCTGTTATAATAATAATAATTATTATTGTCATTATAACTTGCTTTCCAGAATGGCTGGACCAATTCGCAGCTCGGTCCACAATGCATTCATGTGCCTGTTTCCTCACAGCCCCTCCAAACTTTGCCATCTTTCTTTTTCGGTCAGTTTTGCCATCTGGCAGGTGGGAGGTGGAATCCGAGTTGCTTTAATTTGTATTTCTCTAATTAAGAGTGATTTGGGGCATTTTTTTTTTTACATATAGCTGTAGATAGCTTGGATGTCTGCCTTTGGATTCTGCCTGTTCATACATCTTTTTGGTCATTTATCAAGTGGAAGGGGTCAGGCCCCTTGATTTTGAGAGGAAGAGGGTGAGGCCCGGGGAGGCAAAGGCCCGAGGTTGCAGCTGCAGGGAGCGAGGCAAATCCGAATCCAGGCCCTCAAATCATCGCTGTCTGCTCCTGACAGCACAGCTTTGCGCGCGCATCGTTTCAAAAACAAGACAAGCAGAGCAGCCCTTTCCTCCCAGTACACGCACGTGCGTGGGGACGCAGAACCCAGAAGCGGGCTCTTTGTTACACGCCCGCGAGCGGCAGCACAGGTGTGAAAGGGGGCGTGGCGCGAGAGGCGCCAAACTGGGAGGGGGTGACGGTGAGGTACGCCTGCGCGAGCCGCTCGAGGCCAGGCGGCGCCTCTCCCCTGACCTCAGGGCCAGACGCATGCGCAGGTGGAGGGCAGCCCGGGGAGGAAGGGGTGGGCGCGTCGTACTTTGCTTCCGGCGCCAGGGGATGCGCATCCGGGTCGCGTTGTAGCCGCTGCCGTCGCTGCCGCCGCTGCTGCTGGTGCTGCCGCCGTCCCCGCCGCTGCTGCCACAACTGCCTCCGGGTCTTCCTCCGCCGCCGACGCCTAGTCCTCCCGCCCGGGCTGCCGCGGGGCCAGACGTGTCCTCATGCCCCTGTCCCGCCGGGGGCCGCCGCCGCTGCCCGGTGAGTCCCCGCTTCTGCCCGGGAGTGGGATGGATACTCGGGGATCGGGGCTCTCGGCTGCCTCGGCGCCCCCGGCCCCGGCTCCTGCCGGGCCTTAGGTCGCCCCTGCGCGGCCGGGCCCCAGGCTGGGCAGGTTCGCGTGAGAGCCCCGGGTGTCGGCGCCGGAGCTCCAGGTGGAGAGTCTCTGGACCTGGGTTCGAGTTCTGCCTAGGTGGCTTAGGAGCTGGGTGACCTTGGGCAAGGCCCCGGCCCATTCTGGGCCTCGGTTTCCTTACCTGCAAAAGGAGGAGGTTAGATCGCGTTTCTCAGGTTTCTTTAACCTAGTTACGTCCCTGGGTCTAGGACTGCCAGGCCACTCTTCATTTGTGGGGGACGGGGGAGAGTCAAAGCCCCCAACCTATTAGGTGTTTCAGGGGGGTAAGGGCTATTTAGTTGAATTCGGCAGACGGTGTAAGTGCTGGGGATCTATAGGATATGACTTTAGTATTTGTATTCCCAGTATCTAGTGCTGAGGAGGCGTCTGAGTCAAGTCAACAAGCATTTATTGGCTTTGTCATACATAACAATAACAGTAATGATAGCTAGCGTTCATTTAGCACTTTAAAGTTGGGAAAGTGCTTTACGAATATGATTTCATTTTCCACCCGCAACAACCCTGGGAGGTAGATGATATTATTATCCCCATTTTACAGATGAGGAAATTAAGGCTGAAGACGCTTAAATGACACACAGCAACGGAGCTGGTTTTGAACTCAGGCTTTACTGACTCCAAGTCCAGCAGTATCCACTGGGCCACCTAGCTGAGATATTAAGCACTTAGCAGGGTGCTGTACTAAGCTCTGGGGAAATGAAGGGGAAAAAAAGCATAGTCCTTGTCTGTTCCAATAGGTTAGAAAACAAAAATAACCATGCCCTTGAAGAATATGTTCAGTGCGGTGTATACAATGTGTACAGTGCAAATGGTAGGTAATACGGGGGGAAAGTGCAAGAAGTGTGTGGGGAGGGAGTGAGAGAGGCAAGACTAGGAAGACCTCCTTCAGGAGATGGAATTTTAGTTGAGTGTTAAAAGGAAATGTTTGTTGATTGATTAATAGACACCTTTTCTCCCTTCCCCCCAACAAACAAACAAACAAAAAAACCAAGAAAAGATCTCTGAGCCCAAAGAGCTTCCCTTTGCTTGGGAGGAGGTGGCTGCACAATCTTCATCCGTGAAAAAAGTCCAAGGAGAATTGAATTAGGGAGGGCATTAACACTTGGGTCCATGAGGAAATCTTGTTGTAGATGGTTACGCATGAATTAAGCCTTGAAGGAAAACAGGGAGTCAGGTGGAGATGAGTGAGTGCTGACTCTCCAGTTGTACGATTGGGGCATAGAGTTTGGGGAAGACGTAGTAGGTCAGTTTGGCTGTGGTGAGGAGTATTGTAATTTATAGAAACTTTATTTAGGAACTGCAGGGCTTCTGGGTGTTAATGTAAAGTCACATAGTGGAACTGCCCTGGAATTTGGAGGAACAACAAAAGAAGATTTTCCCATGGTTGTCCTTTGAGCTCTTGGCCTGTAGCTCTGAGCTTAGATTTGGTCTCTAACCCCCCCCCCCACACACCACCGCCTCCATACAGCAGAGTCAATAGATATTATGCTTATAATTGTTTGTAGCTGCAACTCTGCCTGTGATTTTGTTGTTCATTGATGGTGTAATCATTGTGTCTTAGAGGAAATGTGGTATCCTGAAAAGAGCAATAGACTTGGAGTCATCTGAGTTCAAATCCTGCCTTTGACATTCATTAACATAGAGCCATGAACAAGTCACTTAAGCTCTGTGAGTTTATGCCTTAAATTCGGTCAGTCCACAGTCATTTGTTAAGCAATTATAATGTGCCAGCACTGTACTAAATGCTGAGGATACAAAGAAAGGCAAAAACTCCATTCCCTAGCCCTTAAGGAGCTCACGTTCTAATGGGGGAGACAACCCGCAAAGAACCACACATGAGAGATACAGAGAGTGTAAACGGAAGGTGATATCAGAGGAAATGTTCTTTAGGGGATGAGAGGAGCAGGAAAGGCCTCCTGTAGAAGGTGGGATTGGTGCCGGTTCTTGAAGGGAAACCCTGAGAAGCCAGGGAGTGAGCAGGGAAAGACTTCTGAGCTTTGAGGCAGCCAGAAAAAGCTCTGAGATAGCAGCTAGTGGCACATCAGGCGGGAGGAACAGCAAGGAGACTGGTGTTCCTGTATCGTAGAGTATGGGGGAAAGAGGAAAATCTAAGAGACCTAGAAAGGTGGGAAGGACTTCCGGTGCCAGAGGATCGTATATTTGATCTTAGTGGCAGTAGGGAGCTCCTGCAGTTTGGAGGGGCGGACAACTTAAATATGAATTGTTGTCTGTCAAGGTAGAGGATGGCTGTTTACGGGTGAGATAATAATTGGGGTGGTAGAACCAGCCCTATTTTTCCCACAGGCTTTAGCTGTGAGTCACTTTAGTGCTATCCAGGAATTAGCATTTTTTGCCTTTGTGATGCATAAGTTTTGTGGGAGATGAGGCTTTAAAACCATAGAAGAAATTTTGCTATATTGATTCAATATGATAGTGATGAAATTATGGAGTTTCTCCTCTCCCTCCAGCCCCCGAAGTCTTCCAAAGACCTAATCTGTTTTTTTAATTACTTTATTTTGAATTATCAATAATCACTTCCATAAGCTTCTGAGCTTCAAATTTTTCTCCCTCTCCTTCCCCACCTTCCTCCCCAAGACGATGCCCAATCTGATATAGGCTCTACATATACATTCCTATTAAACATAGTTTCACATTAGTCATGTTGTTAGAAAGAATTAGAGCCAACAGGAGGAACCACCAGAAAGAGGAAACAAAACACAACAGAAGAAAAAAATAGCAAATAGTGTGCTTGGATCTGCATTCAAACTCTATAGTTCTTTCTTTGGATGTGGGTAGCATTTTCCATCAGGAGGCCTTTGGAGATGTCCTTGTATCACTGAGAAGGGTTAAGTCTGTCAAAGTTAGTCATCGCACAGCGTGGCTGTTACTTGTGTACAGCATTCTCCTGTTCTTCTCGCTTCACTCAGCATCAGACCATACAAGTCTCTTCAGGTTTTTCTGAAGTCTGCCTGTTCATTTCTTGTAGCATAATAGTATTCCATTACATTCATTTACAACAACTTGTCCAGCCATTCCCCAATTGATGAGCATCTTCTCAATTTCCAGTTCTTTGCAACCACAAAAAGAGCTGCTATGAATATTTTTGTACATATGTGTGTCCTTTTCCCATTTATATGATCTCTCTGGGATACAGCTGTAGAAGTGCTATTGCTAGGTCAAAGGGTATGTACATTTTTATAGCCTTTTGGGCATAGTTCCAAATGCTCTCCAAAATGGTTGCTAATCTATTTTCTATGCACAGTCGTAATGCCCATTCAACTTTGGTACCTAAGTTTACATCCCTCTCCTGGTCACTCAACAGGTTTTTTTGTTGTTTTCATGGTATTTAAAAATTCATATCACTTCCCTGTCTCTCCCCTCACATAATTTCCAGTCACAGTTCAACACCATAGAATGTTAGAAGGAGAAGAGAGTTTAGAGATCATTTAGTCCCAAAGCTCTCATTTTACCAGTGAGGAAATTGAGGCTTAGAGTGTTTTAGTGGCTTGCTCAATGTCACATAGCTAGCAGAACAGGACTAGAAACTCTGATTTCCTCACTTCCAATCCTGTGGGGTTTTTCCTCCCACTATGACTCTTTACTTCCTCTCTGTATAATATGATCATAATATTCTTCATCTCTAGTCACTTTGCTTTTAGTAATTTTCCTCTCTCATATTTTAGGTGTCATGCTTTGAGCAATGATAGAAAAACTAGAAGGTTTCCTTACTAAATCTCTTTTTGAACACTTGAGAAAATTTTAGTTTTCTTACCTGTAAAATGAGGGAATTGGAACAAATCATCGCTAAGGTCCCATGTATTTCTAATTTTCTTTTTTTTATCTTTAGGCAGTTGGGGTTAATGATTTGCCCAGGGTCACACAAGTGTCCAGTGTATGGTCTGAGGCCGCATTTGAACTCAGGTCCTCCTGACTTCAGGGCCAGTGCTCTATCCACTGCGCCACCTAGCTGCCCCCTATGTACTTCTAAAATCCTGTAGTTCCTAAATATATTATAAAGCACACATTTTGTTCTTGTGGCACACGTTGAAGAATTTTCATTTCCTCCATCTTCTTCAATCAACAAATGTTCATTGTGCACCTGCTATGTACCGTCTAAGAGGCGGTATGTTGTAGCAGAGAGCCAGCCTTGGAAGCTGGGAGACTTGGATTCATGTCATCAGTTAGTAGAGAGAATTTTCTTACCATGATTTCCTTATAAGAAACCATGGATAGGTGTGATCCAAGCACAAAACTATCAGGATTCTTTGCTAAGTATTGGGCTTAGGAAGAAAAAACCAAAACCACTTCTGCTTTCTAGAGCTTGCCTTCTGTCACAAGAAAGAACCTGTCCAGTACTCAACTTAGCAAATATGAGATAGATACAGAGTAAATACCAGGTTATTTGGTGGTGGGGTGGGGGAAGGCATTAGTTTGCTGGGGGACTAGAAAAGAATTCAGTGCAGGGACATTTGAGCTGAGTTTTGATGGAAGTGAGCGTTTCTAAGAGGTTGAGGGAGAGAATTCCAAGCCAGGGGAACAGCCTAGATAAAGGCCCAGAGGCAGGAGATGACTGTCTTCTTGAGAGAGCAGCTAGCGGGTCAGTTTGGCAGGACCAGAGAGTATGTGGAGGGGAGAGATGTATGAGTTTAGAAGAGTAGACTAGAGCTAGATTTTAAGAGGCTTTAAATGCTAAACAAAGGGGTTTGTGTTTTGTCATAAAAGCAGTATGGTTTTGTGCACAGGGGAGTGACCCGCAGTCAGACATGTGCTTTAGGAATATCACTTTGGCAGCTGTGTGGAGATCATTTGGAGTTTGGAAAGGTTTGAGGCATGAAGACCAGTTAGAAAT